CGATACAAAAAGTCGGTCCATTCCAAATACTTTTTTTGAGTTATAAAACATACAGACTCAATAGTTACAGTATGTTACGGAAGAGGATTAGGGCCACTGAAAAAAAAAAAAGTTAACTGATTTTTGAATTTTATTTCAGTTTAACATGGGAAAAAAGTCTGAATTCTGACTTTTTTTCCAATATTACACTGAAATAAAATTGAAAAATCTGTTAACTTTTTTTTTTCAGTGGGCCTAATCCTCTTCAGTAGTATCTAGAATAGGTTAAGTTAGCGTAAACTGTTTATTGTGTTTTTACCTAACCTCCAAATGACACAGAAGATGGAAAATAACATTTAACCAATTTGCCTTGATTACAAAAAAGTGTGTCTCTCAATGGTGCATATTTGTTTAAAACATGCTTGTTTTTAATTTAGTGAAGTTACTCACAGTGGAGTAGCCAGAAGCTTTTACTTCAGTGAGTCTTTTTTTTATTTTTTAAAGGTTACTCAAGTTACTGAGTAAATGTAACTACTGTAGTTACTAGCAACCTCTGTAAATAGGCAGTGTGGAACAATGTAAAAACATTATTGAGGGAGGGAGTCTTCAACACAATTTTAGATCAAATATTCTTTGAAATATTTCTGGGAATGTCTTTGCCCTTAAATCCAAGTATATGAACACTAAAGATCATTCAATAAAGGGGCTTTCTGGTGCTATGGTTCCATTTAACATCATCTGTCTCCAGAAAAATAAGTTTTATAACATAACTGGTCACTTCTATCATTTTAAGTTTAAATTTAAAAGATACATTTTGGATGAAATAAAAAAAAAATAAACTCTGACTTTTAACTTCACTGGTCTACTTTGAATGCATGAAATCATTAATAATCGATTGCTAAATATTTTTTTGGAATTGCATGATAATGTTTTCATTAGTTGGAAACTGATCACATTGTTTAATAAGGTCTGCTGCAACTGAGCCTGATGACACTGCAGCAGAGGTTTTGGTCTGCATTTGGTAGAAAGCCTGGTAGAACCTGATTAAAGAGAGTTATTGTTATATTTACGCCCTCATCATGGAAACAGCAACCTTGTGGTAAAGATTGTATCAATGATGACTTAAGGAGAAGGTGTTAGGAGGCTGGAAGCTGTTAAGTTGGTTTTCAGAGATTAGATTTTTACATATGAGCAGTGCGATAGTGTTTCTCATTTTTAACACTCTGCTTTAGTCGATACGTAGTTAAGAACCCAGCCTACATCATTAAGACTTATCGAATCGCGTTGGCTGCACATTTTATTTTCATGGTCCTTTCAGAAATTTCCTATTCTGACATAAAAAACAGGATTTTAAATGTGACCCTAATTACCTCTGAATTCGTCAAGAAGGCAAAACCCAAGAAGTAAATCTCCTATACAACCAATTTGTAACCTATTGACCCTGTGTGGGGCCATCTAGATTAAAATGTGGCTTTGGATGAGGAGCTGCAGAAGATGCTATTGCTTTGTTTATAAGTACAATACTAAAAGGCTTAAAAAAAAAAAAGTTCTTACTTTGCAAAGTGCATTAGATGACTCACTTGCTAAAGCATCTGGTTTACAAATAAACCAAGTGCATGTTCACTATACCTTTTATCCCTATAGAACTGCATAACAGTTTTGCTAATTATTTCAATGTGATCTTAAAGATGTAAGCATACTGATGAAAGTACTTTCTTGTGAAGGCAACGTTAATGTTTTTCAATTCTTGCTAAAAAGGAAAAAGATTTGAAATAATCTATGCTCCAAAGAACCAGTCTTACCTTAGCATAACATCAGCCAGATTCACGTCTACCTGTGTTTGACATCATCTAAGGAACATTTGCCCCACTCCTCAGTTAAAGTTTTCAATTATTTGAGCGGTTTCTTGCATACACCTTGGAGTTGGATGCCATCAAATCTGGAGGTTATCATGTTCTGTGTCAACATGGACTTTACGTGCTTTAATTTTCAGCTGTTTCGTTGTATTTACAGTAATGTTTAAATCATTGACTTCTAAGGATTCAGCTTTGCTTTATAATTTTCTTTTACAATTTATTATCAGACATTTTCCGCCCTTTGATATAGAGCATTTCATGGTGGATTTATCTAAAATTTGTAGTGATTTCTGTGATGGTGAGGATCCCCAGACCATGACACTTTCATCTACATGCTTCAAAGTCTAGCCTATTGGCTAGATGGCCAAGTCTTTATAGTAGGGTGGGGTAGGATAGCTTGAAAACAAAATCTCCATTTTATTTTGAAACAAACACGAAATGACAATTATTCTTCAATTATCCATTCTGGAAGTTAAGCTGATTTCAAACTCCAACTAATTACAATCTATGACACATGCTTGTAAAACAGTTTTAAGTATTTGTACAATAAAATTAAGGTGATCGCATCACTCTCACCTATTTTACCTTTGCCCAAGGGGTGCAAAGGTCAAATGAGTCACGGTTTTCCAAAAGTTGGACCTTTTTATACAGAAAATTTGGTCAAAATTGGTTTATCACAAAGCCCTACTTGCTGGGTTTACAGGTGTACCATCTACTTTAAGGTGGTGGAGTGGACAGTGCCTAGTTGTTTCACAACCTGGGCTTTAGTTTGATAGCCAAAATCTTCTTTAAATTTCTCCATGGCTTCCTCTCTGATCTGCTTTGTTACTTGTTTTTTATTATTCTGTGTGTTCAGTTATGTTCTCTAAAAAACCTCTAAGGCCTTC